ATAATTATTATTATTATTTTCCCAGTGGTTGCCTACAGATAGCTGTAGGCATTGAGAGATTGTGTAGATTACAGTAAATCAGAATGAAAAGGTAGATTTTGTGTAGATGCATTTGTCTGCTGTAATTTTTTATATATATTAAACTTACTGTAATTGTACAGTTCATTTCTGTTGTAAACATCATTAAACCATTTTCCAAGTGTTTTAACATGTATGCACTTGTTTGTAGTTTTTAAATGTGTCGGGGAGGCTAATTCCCCTTCCCCCCATGCATCAAAGTGGGCCCGAGGATTGGTCTTGTCAAACTGATGGACATCCCAGGGTTTTTGCAAGTAAGTCCACTTGAAGATTTTTGTTCTACTTCTGTGTTGTCATCTCCTCTCCTAAAAGCAGAGACAGCTTCAGTTCCTTCCTGAAGACAGAGAGGAGACTTGGCTCACACTTACGGTGAGTGTCCCTGAAACAAGCTTTGGATGCTTTTTGAAATCAAGATCCATTTATATATAAAGAGCATAAAGGTGATTTTTCTTTCCTCCAAAGACTATTTTTCCTGTTTAGTGGTTGGTATTTCATGTCTGCTAAGCCTTGTGACTTCTACATCTTGCAAATATGGTTATGATGATTTAAAGAGAGAAAGCTGTTTTCAGTACTCTGTTCTTGCATGGAATTTTCAGCTCAGCTGTTTGAGGTATCTGCCAGTTCGCTCAGATTTTTCTTGTCATTGTAGAAGAACAGTAAGGAATCTAGGAAATTGTTTGCAAGAAACATTCATTACCATGTCTCAGTTTACTTTTTTTTTCACTCTAATTTATTGGAAATATTCTTTAAAAGATACAAGCACCTACTGCAGGTACAGTTTTACGGCTTAAGAAGTAAAACAAATAGCCCTGTAAATTGCTGCCCAATAGCAGCAATTTCAGCAAGTTTTTCCACTGCTAATGCACCCAGTCCCTTAAACGAAGATAAAACCTCACGTGGGCAGTGCCTATGGCTGCAGATCTTGTTCCCACACAGCCTTGCTTTAGCTCTGCTCATTCCCTGAGGACAAGTGCAATGAGCTGGTCAGCTCCTGACCCAAGGAGAAACATCTTTTATTTTGCTGGCCTGATTTTGCCCTTGCTGAGCTCTTACAGGCTTCATAGCACAGCCTTGCAAGTCTCCGGCAAAACTGAGGCTGCAGCAGCAGGAGGTGAGTCTCCCTTTTATGGCTGGGCATTTTTCCAACATCCCATCCCACCTCCCAGGATGTGTTTATGTGCTCCTGTCAGAATAGTGTCCTCCTCAGCTTCCCTGGGAGATCATGCTGCTGGGTCTAAGTTGGTTCAGCCAGCCTGAATGCAGCGGGTAATGAGTTTGTGCCATTCCCACATCTGTTTCCTGCACACATGCACACACAGGTCTCTGGCAACTACCTTTATTAATTCATGAAAAACACATTACATTATTGAACTAGAACCTCTTTGGAATTATACCTGCATCATTTAGAAGTAACCTGGTGATAGATTTGTTTGAAAACTGCATTTGTACTGGCTTTTGCTCAGTTTCTGTGGCCCAGAAGTTGTGTATTAGAGTCCATTCTCCTTGTTTTCTTTGTAACAGGGGTAACTTCTGCCTTCTGAGATATCTCTCATGCGGGTTGCCTGGCTCATATTTAGCTCCAAGTGCTGGATGAGTGGCAGCACCATTGCTCAGTCTCTTCTGGGAGCTTAGTGCTTATTTTGTTCATCTGGAAAAGTTAGCATTCAGCCTCTGTCCTTCACTGCAGTAACATCACATCACTTTGTACAGTTAAGAAAAAGAAGTTGTCCTCCACTGGAGCAGTACTTTTAAAGGCAAATTTAAAGCAAAAAGTTTAATTGGCCTATGTCAAATAGTCTTAATACTACAGGAAATAACTATAGCCCTATCTTTACAAGTTTTTTAAATGCAATGAAACAGTAGTTACATGTCTTGATACCCCTGCAAGGCAAGGAAGAGCTATGGAAACAGGTGTTTGTTAGAAGGTGTGGTCTGGTCCAACAGCACAAATCTTACCAAAAAAATCCAGCCTAATAACTACGAGTATAGGAAACAACTTTACAGATATATACACTTGAATAGCAAAAGCTCATGATTACATGATCAGAAGGGAAGGGAGAAGGGACGGACTGAGTCCAGACACACTCCCTCCGTGCATCAGCCGAAGGAGGTTGTTGCACAGAGAAGATACACAGTGCTTGTGTTGGATGAAAAAGACTTTCCCTTTTCCCAGAGCAGATGGGCATCTCTCACTTTTGCCCATCCCCTCTGTGACCCCCACTTAGCGTGGGGGCAAAGGCTGCATTTGGAGAGCATCATAAGTGTCCTTGGTTGCTGCACTGAGTCCCTGAAAAAGAGAGAAAAAGGTGAGGGACGAGTTCTCCCTAGCACTTGTCTTAGTTCTCCCTAGCTGTCTGGTCAGCAGCAGGGTGGCAGGGGCTCAGTAGCATAATTCTACTTTTGTTTTTTTTTCCCCTACAGAGGTTTTTACTCATGATTCCTTAGTCTTTGTATGGTGCCAATAGCTATCACTTACCCAAAGGCAAGGTACACCCTGAGTAACTGTTAAGAACATATGACTACAGCAACTCATCCTAACTGGTTATGCAAATCTTTAGAGTACATTTTATTCACATATTATTAAGAGCTAACTGATGCTAGAGTGAACTTTGATAACTGAATGAATAGACGTTAAATCATGAACTTTGTTCTCTGGACTTGTCTTTGATTTGGAAGTCAGATGCAGCTCTGGGTAAGTAAGTTGGCAGCAGGGCTTCAGATGGCTCTGGATCCCAGGAAGCATCTCCTCACATCCCTCCCTGCAATGCAGCAATGCTTTTCCTGCCAGCCTGCTCTGGTAAGTCATCTGTGACCTGTGCATTACAGATCCCTGCTGCAGCAATGGGACCCACTGCTCCAAGAGCAGGGCAGAAGATGTGACAGAGTTGTAGGTGAGCCCAGGAGCCTGCCAGGCCAGAGGAAACTCAGGCTTCCAGCAGTGAGGATTTAGTAAGACACGTGGTGTCTGCTTGTCAAACTTCCAGCTACTCTTCACCTCTCTGCTGTGGATATCTAGTGGTGTACTGAGTATGTTGGTAAGTTGGTGCTGCTTGTCAGGCATTTGACACTATCTCAGTAGAGCAGGTTTGAGAAAAGGTGCCACTGGCTACAGATATGCCACCTTACAGGAAAACTCCCTGCCATGTGCTGCATCCAAAGAACTCCTTAATATGTATTTTATTTTTGTCATTTTGAGCTGCCAGTGGCAATGTACAGGCTTCTACAGAAAGGAAAATGCATTGTGGAACAGTTGTGTGCAGCAACCCAAATGAGGCTTTATCGAGGGACTCCAATGCAACACTGAAACCCCAGTGTACCAAGGAACTGGAGGTGCTGACCAGTTTGTGCTCTGTGCTATAGTGAGGTGAGCTGAACCACTGATGCCTTCAGTTACAACAGCTGTTTGGCAACCTGAAGGTTTCCATTAAGCAATAAACAATTTGGAGGCACAACTGTGTGCAAAAAGGTGCTTCTCCAAGGCATGTAGGGCTGTGGAAATGGTTTCTACCAGGGCAGCTAAAATTGTGTTTAGAACATGCAGGCTCTTTATCAAAGTAACAGTAGTGTGGTCTTTGCCCTGAATCTGAGTAACTGTCCTTAGAAAGGTTTTATGAAAGCACTGCTTCATCACACCTCACTAACAGTGTGGTTGGGTATGGGACTACCGGCTACAACTAACGCATGAGAAGAGGAGCTGAATGTGTTGCCTACCTGGTAGACACCATCATGTCCTTTGCCTCGCCGCCTCTGCTGCTTTGGGAAAGAAAAACAAGCACAGATTAATGGGTGCTTTCCTGATTATGCCAAAAGAAAGAACCCCCTGATTTCCCCTGTGCTGTACTGAGGGTCTGCAGCTGTGCTTGGCCTGCACCTGCTCTGTGCAGGGGGAAAAGCACCTGGTAAGTCTGGACCAGCCCAGACATGCTGAAAGGCTGTAAATGAGAAAATAGAGAGGATTGGAAATATAAGGAAATTATTTTGATTTGCTGACATGTTTTCCTGTCATCCTGTTAGGATGCTGCTATTTCTTTGATATGCTGTATGTATAGAGATTTGACAGCATTCCTATGGACACCAATTGTTTAGTATTAGACTGTGTCACCAACATGTGACAAGGAGTAGTGCCTGCCAGTTAAAATCACAACAACCTGTTAAATGATCATATGTCTAGAATGGGAGAAGGAGTTTGGTATTTTCATCCCTCCAGGAACAGAAACATTCATAAAAACATGGTGCAGCTTTACAGACCCATTGCTCATAGACAGAGCTTGACTATGGCAGAGGGGCATTAGAATACAGAAGGGGAGGAGATTAAATGTCAGTGTTGCCTCAGCATCTCTCAACACTAAACTTTGTTTTGAAATGCTACTTTTTTCATGTTTCAGAGGGAAATGAAAGGTTATATATATACATGACATTTTGACATAAAATAGAACCTGTGTAGGTCACAGCAATTTTTCATTTTGCCATAAACAAGTGTCCCTAGATGGTTTGTTTTTCACACAAGCTCCCCTCCCTCCCCCAGCTGTTTGTGCACAGAGCTAAAACTATCCATTTACTGTAGCTGGAGACATAAGAGGTGTGTACCTTCCTAAACGTTTTAGAGCAGAGCTGGGGGAGGGAGAATTTTTCCCCCCATTCCTTGCCTGAAGACAGACACAAGGAGGAGCACATGCTTCCCTGGGCCTGTAATCTGGGCAGCCCATGGAGGGGAAACTGTGAACCTTCAGCTCTGAATTGCTCTGGAGGAATGTACACAGCTACTGAGTGACTGAGCCATGGACATTGCAGCACTTGGCACCAGACATTCCTTCAACTATTCCACACCCATCTCACACTCTCAACCAGAACAGCCATCAGAATTTTTCTGTCCAAAAGTTGAAATGTTTTCGGTTGACGTTATTCAGTGTGCCCAAGGACACTGCTGGTGGAGGAGCTGTGTTTCTAATGCCCATGGGACAAAGCTGACTGATCTCCACATCAGTTTATGGCTACTCTACACTTGAGCTATGTGTCTGTCTTAGTGCTGCACCAAACGTGCAGGTTCTACAGGAAACAGGTCCCTGCTCTCAGCTGTGCTGTAGGTGCTGTGCAACACGGGGGCTGCTCAGTGCAGTCAGGAATGCTGCTCTGTAAGGGAGCAGCAGTGAAGATTTTTTCATCCTGGGCTTTCACCAGCAAGGAAAGTAGGACTCACCTCTCCCTTCATTCCGATTTCACTGTATGCCTCACCCATCTTGTCCTTCTGCAGTGACTGCAATTGGAGAGGGGAAAAAAGAGTCAGTGTGCTACTAGAAAAGCCAGGCCAGCCCCTGAGTGACCACACTCCAAGCCTCTGCCTCCGGGGCTGCCTTGCCTTGAAAACCTCAGTATGTTCCAGAGAAGAAGGGAATAGTGGTGGGACTTGACCAATGTGCCTTTAAATAGATGCTATGCATGATCAAATCTGTGTAGCATATCAATACCACCTCATCTCCAAGCATTTAAATGAATACATCTCTACCCTCAACCAAGGCAGTTACCTAAACTGGTGCCAGACACTACAATTGAAGCTCTCCAAAGAAGAGCTTTAAGCAGCATTTGTTCAGGAGACAAACCTGAATGTGCAGCTCTGGCTCAGAGAAAAGGGAAGTCTAACACTGCAGGGTGAAGATTAAGAAAGAGGAGCTCCTCCTTACACCCTTCATCTAGGGAAGCAGTTCCCAAATATTTACAGCTGTGATCAGAGTGTCTGATTCAGTAACCATGACGGCCGATCTTGGAAACAAGCTCATTTCTCAGCAAGCACTGAACACCCAGAAAGACTCCAGTTAAGGCATGAGCATTAACATTCCTGTATCTACCCTTTGCAGCACAAACCAGCACATTTAGCCAGAGTCAAGTCAATTAAGATATTCCTAAGCAGCCACTCTTAGATGCACTGGCATTTGGCCTTCACCAGGGAGTAGTCACAGAGGCTGGAGAACAAGCACATAAAATAGTGCAGCACTGATCACATGGGATGAAGGCTCGTTAGGCACTAGTGGCTAACACAAAGGGATCAGCAAGTATCTTGATCCAAATTCTTTTCCACATCTCCCCAGGCAGTCAATGTTTTTCTCCTATCACAGAAACGTGAACAGAAATTTTCTAGCAAAAAAAAAAGGGGGGGGGTTTGGAATGGATGTTGGGTAGCAGGGAAGTCTTTGAAAGTAGCTGTAAAGTTTGAACCAAAGCTGAAATTGGATAGGGGGGAAAAAGGTCTATGAAACAGAAATTCCTATTTCTAACCATCCCTCCCTCTCTGTTCTCTCCAGCTCTCTCTACTCACAGTGTAGACAGTGTCCTGAGGGTTCTTTCTTCTCTGCTGTAAAACAAAAGAAGAAAGTTATCCACATGTTGCACCACCAGCATCCCCCACCACCTTGTACGTGCCTGTGCATTTGCTCCAAGGCACAGCTACAGCTCTATGGACCTGCCATGCCTATTACAGTGCATCTTGCCTCCACCCATAAGGCTCAGAGTTCAGGCAACTTGTTGTCTGGAAATTTAATTTAATTTAAATAATTGGTAAAACTTAGCTATTCTCTGCTCAGTCCCTACAGCTGTCACCTGCAGGTGAGCCCTTACATGCTGACGCAGAAGATTCTCCCTCCCTTTTCCTTTGAACTGCTGGGCTCTGCAGCACCAGGAGTTGCTTTGGCTGCTGCTCTATTTTGTGGGCACTTGTTTGGTGGTGTCACATGCAGCGAGTGTGTGTGAAACACCCACTACTGCCTCTCCTCCCCTACATCTGCCCCGTGTTGGGTGTCACTTCCTATTCTGGGTGGCTGCAAAGCTCTCAGCAAGTGACAGGGGCACGAGGGGCAGAGATCAAAGGGGAAGGAGGAGGTTTGCTCCTCTCCTCCTGTGCTGCCAGCCAACCGAGTTATGACACAGATTTTTGTCCTTCCCTCCCTCTCCAGGAAGGCACTTGTGCTTAGCAAATGAGTGATGTGTGCCTGCATGTCTAATCAGTGGTTAGACATGAGAAGGAAGGAACCAGGTTAAAAGAAAAAAGGTGCCTATGTGGGAGGAAGTTACCTGGTGTCTCCCACCCAGCTCAGGGTCTGCACCTCGCTTTGCCCCCAGAACATCATATTCATCTCTGTGTCCACGAGACAGTTTCTGAAACAAGAAAGCAAAAAGCAGTGAAAGGGCATCATGATAATGAGATAATAGAGCTTGACTTAACAAAGGAAAGAAAGCACTTCATGTGTGCTGTAACAGCTAGAAATTATTTTTACTCCTTAATGCAACTGTCAACACAAATGTCTACATCTAAGACATGGAAATGACAAACAGTGGGCTCTGCAGCACAAAACTGCAAGCTGTTGCATCAAGAACCTTTCTTAAGTAGAAATGAGTTGAAAATAAGAAAGCATGAGGCAGAGGGACTCTGACTTTCATGTTTTATCTCCTACTGGAGAGTGAAGATCCACAAGCTTAATTTCTCTTGCAGAGCAGTTCATGTAAATTTGCATCAAGAAGTTACAGAAATGTTATGCCCATCACAATTCTTAGCAGGGAAAGGTTTGCTTGGAAGAGGGCAAAGGAGAGATTTGAGGACAGAATAACACAGATGATGAAATGCAACTGGAAAGGCGACAGGCTACACGTAAATTGAAAAAAAAAGTTGCATTAATGTTCATGCATTACACAGTTAAACAGAACTCATCACAGGATGTGGCTATGGTCAAAAGCCTGAGAAAAAAATCAAAAGACAACTCTAGCAAAAATAGCTAGAGTTTAATGCTGCCATGAGTGAGCAATTTAGCTGGGAAGGACAGACAGGATCTTGCCTATTTCCGTTTTCACTGCCAAAAGGTGATGGCTGTGGTCAGGGCACAGTGGACAAGGTATGTCTCTGGTATGATCTGGTCTCTCTGTGGGACAGCAGGAAAGCTTGGGGATGGAGACACATGGACTGTGATGACTCAGGCTCCACACATTTGACAATATAAGAGCTACAGGTGCCCAAAGTCAGCAATGCAGCATTCCTGGGCAGTTGCTTGCTCTCCAGCCCATGTCAAATGTTATTGGCAACATGGATGTGAGTGACAGGAGGAACAGCAATTGGCAAGAGCTGCAAGCTGACTGCAGAGAGCCAGACAAGAGCTTGGGGTGTGCACAACATACATAACAGTTCTGTGGTGGCGCACACACACACACACACACACCGAGCACCATCTCTGAAGGGTCTGGGTTCCTGGTAGACCTTCAGGCTCAGCAGATTAAACCAGGAACCTACAGCCCAAATATCTACCTAGCATCTGCCCAGATTAGTGACACTAGAAGCTGCCCCTGTGGGGTTTTATTTTTCCTCCTTACAGCTGCCATGCTGCACACATGCACACAAGCATGCATAGTATACTCATTAGCTGGGTCATTCAAAGTTTTTCTGGCCCACAGGCAATTCACTAGGTATAGGTGCCCAAAAAGGTCTGTCTGGGTAGAGATTTGAAAACTAACAGAGACCAGCAGTTACTTACATTATACACATCATCCTGGCCTGGTTGCAGCTGTGGTTCATAGGCCTTGCTAAGCTGGAAGAGAGACAATACCATGAGCAGTGAGACAGTGTCTCCCTTCAGTCATTTCATTCCCTCTCCTACTGAGTTACTCTCACCAGAAACAGGGCAACCCATAAGGAGCCACCCATGGCACCAGTGGTGCTACAGGCAACACAAGCCAGAGCTCCATTGGCACATTTATCTGCACACCAGATTGCTCTCAGCAGCCAGATCATTTTACTTGCGCATAACACCAGTTCACAGCCCAAGACATCTGGGTTTGTTCCCTCCCTCCTCAGATTTTGTACTTCCATTCTGTTCCTATCTTAATTCTGTGCTATCAAAGGAGCTCCATCAGGCTGTAGAAATCATATCTGCAGCCTGTGCTAAGCAAAACTGGGTATCTGGGGCTTCTAGCAAGCAAAAGCAGCTGCCAAGACTATGGTCCTCCAGCAAAAGTGCTGCCTGCTAAGTTCCTGGGTGTCCTCAGCTTCAGAGAGTGCAGAGGATCTCTGCACCCCTAAGGAGCTGCACTTGGCTTGCAGGTAAGTTGGCATGAGTGGCAACTAACAAGTAGGTAAAGAATTTCCCTTATGTAGCTAGTCTTTGACTTAACTGCTCACAATATTTATGAGTAGTCAATTACTATGTCAAACTTTCAGGCAAAAAGGGGCAGTTTTAGGTCAGTGAGAGCAGCTGCTTTGTGTTCCAGTCTTTAAAAAACCCTGACAAACTGTGTTGCTTTAGCCTCCCAGAGTTATTATCTATCACATTTAAAATTCTTTATTAAAAATAATCATCTAGCTAGGTTTATACTGAGGCATAGAATGGTGTTTGCAGTAGTTACAAACTCCTCTCCCATGGCTGTTGTGTGATAGCATTTGCATTGTCATGCTCATACTATCAAAGATAGTATTGAGACATTTCAATACATCCTTCACAAGCCTGGCCATTATCTTGAGTTTTCTGTATATCCCCTCCTCCCTTTCCAATGACAAAGCAGTAGAAAAAAATCCACATCACTCTTGATCAGGCATTTCCCATCTACAGTATTCAGAATCTCTGACTGCATGCATAACTGTAGCATCAAAACACCCTCATATATTCTTCCCCTCCATTCATGAACCTTGGGAAAGAACTCCCCCAGGTCGCTCAGGTTGGAACCAGAAACAGAGGAAAGTTATAAAAACCAAACCAAACCAATAAAAAAAGAGAGAAAATAAAGCAATGAAAGATCTCATTCTGAGAGACAATGCTTCCTCTCCACTCCCACAATCCAGCTCAGCCCAATTAGTGTACACCACCAAAGTTAAACTCATCAGTGTTTGGTTAGACTGACCTTGGCTTTCACAAAAAGGGCTGTGATGACGATGGCGTAAATGAAGAGGAATCCATCCAGTACGTAGCAGAGTCTGGGGTCTGTCAGTCCAAGAACTGATACAGCATCTGTACAAAAACATCAGATACATCAACAAACAAGGCCATTTGTATCGCTGGGTGCTTGACAGCATAAATGTGGCAGCACTGCATAGTGCCTCTAGGAAAAATAGCCAGTATGAGGGTAACACTGCCCATTTGCAAAGGAGATGGAAAGCTGAATACAAGATTCACAGGATTAATCAGGTTGAAAGGGACTACAGCAGGTCCAGCCCTCTCTCTAAACAGAGTCAGTTAGACCAGGCTGTCCAGGACCTCAGCCAGCTGAGAGTATCTCTGCAGACAGAAATGTCTGCAACCTTCCTCAGTCAATACAGGACATTTATCCAGATATTCCCATCCAGAGTCTGGGCTCTGCTCCCTGTAGCTCATGGGTATGGGTCAGGGAGGGAGCATGGAGATAATCAAGGATTGCTAACACCACAGTTTCTGCAAGAAAGCCTCACATGGAGCATTTATTTTCTGGGAAAACTCAGCAGCATCTCCTGCAGGGATTCATTACTGGGCAGGGTTAGAGATTCCTTCATGAACTAACGCTTGAGTGTGCGTGAGAAAACACATCCGTTTGGACAAAATTTTAGGAAGAGCTTCTCAGGACAAAATTTTGTGCTAAATATAAAGAAAAAATGACACTATCATAATCAGTGGGAGATCCAGGCTGAAATTGCTACTCTGCTTTATTTAGAAGACTGAAGATCTGTCTCCTATATCGCAGGTTATATATTGTAACCATAAAGTTTCAGTCTCCTGGCTGTGAAGTTCTCTTAGGCTCACAGTTTGGGGATGTTGTAGACTGTTAAAGGTGAGAAGGGAGCTATGGGTAGGAGACAGGTTTTTAACCCCAGAGGTCAGGACACATCCCTAAGATAATGAGACACCCTGATGTGCTTTTTGTTTGAAAGGAAGGTTTTAAACCCAAATCCCTGCATGGGAACCTCAGCTGGCTGCTGCTTCTTGGATGGACCTTTCCCAGAAGATTTTGAATTTTTACTTCATGGAGTTATAGAATACCAGGTTGGAAGAGGATCTCAAGGATCATCTGGCCCAACCTTCCCTGGCAAAAGCACAACCTAGAAAAGATGGCCCAGCACCCTATCCAGATGGATCTTAAGAATGTCCAGTGCTGGGGAATCCACCACATTCCCAGCGAGATTATTGCAATAGTTGATTGTTCTCATGGTGAAAAATTTTCCTCTTGTGTCCAATGGGAATTGCCCCAGGAGGAATTTTTACCCCTTATCCCTCATCTTTTCCACGTGACTCCTTGTAAAAAGAGAGACTCCACCTTCTTTGCAGACATCCTTTAAATACTGGAACATGGTCATAAGCCTCCCCTAAGCCTTCTTTTCTCAAGGCTGAGCAAACCCAGCTCTCAGCTTTCCTCACATGGCACCTTCCCAGACCTTTGATCATCTTTTTGGCCCTTTTTTGGACCTTCTCCAGCCTGTCCAGTAGGGCACAAAACTGAACACAGTATTCCAGATGTGGCCTGACAAATGCTGAGCAGGTATTTGTTTCATAAAGAAGTGTTGGAACTTTTCTGAGGGAGAAAAATCTACTACTACCCTGTATCTGAGAGCTCAGTACAATTGTTACCCAGAAGATGTTGATGTTCATTTACTAGTTATAGAATCATAGAACCAACCTGGTTGGAAAAGACCTCCAAGATCATCAAGTCCAACCCTTCTGTGGTTACTAGACCATGGCACTAAGTGCCACATCCAGTCTCATCTTAAAAACCAACGTTGCATGTATTTATAAACTGACTGCATCCAGCAGGGCACAGTAATATTGTTGAGTTTCAGCAGATAAAACTGATGAAACTGCCCTGTATCAGTTTGTAAACATGCAGTAATCTCACAAGTGTAGTTAAAAAAAATTAAAGCAATTCAGGTCAAGAAGTCTAAGTAACTATAGATCCAATATGCAGCTTCAGGTTTATCCCCAAAGGAAAAACTGTATTACACAGTTATTTTAAAAAGCCAAAACAAAAACCAAACAAAAAACCCAAGCAAACAAACCCAAACAAACAAAAAAATCTACAAACAAAAAAAATCGATAACCTAAAAATGAGCTTTGTGCAAAGAATTGGAGGGAGTTCAAAAGAGAAAGACAAAAATGATCAATAACCTGTGAAGTCCTTTGATGAAGATAAATTGAGAAGAACTGTTATGATTCATCTCCTCCTTAAGGTGAACAAAGTATGGCAATTCTTATTAACCACAGGTGATGGAGAGTAGTTGCACTACTCAGTGCAGCTCTTCAAGGTGCTGAGTTACTGCAGTGCTGAGTGGCACCATTCTGTGTGTTGGGATTTTCCCTGGCCCTTCAGGTCACACTGATCATTCCTTTAGAAGAAACTTGCAGGTGACACTCAGGCATGACACTCTCACTACTGTGAGGAAGTCTCCTTCACAGAGATAATGTTAGTGGTGATGGCCTGTCATGCTGCTTGAGTGTGCAATCTCTACAAAGCATGTCTGAAAAGCTGTGCCTGGATACTTGGCAATGTGATTGTAAATTCTCAAGCAGGTGATGATACAATCACTGCTCCATGACAGGCTGACACAGCCAGAAAAAAAAAAAAAAGAGTAGATTTGTTTGTGTGTGTTTAGAAACAAATCCATGGAAATGAATTAAGATCCTAGATAGTTTTCCTTCTTCCCCTCTCTGTTTTTTAAAGTGTGGGTCAAAGCACTTTATAAACAGTAATCTTCACCACATTTCTTCAGGACTACAAGATTTCATATACATGGGGTAAATAGAGACAGAGAGATTAAGCTATTTGCCCAACATTGTATGTTAAACCAACAAACAGAGATTATCTTCCCAGAGTTTTTCTTCTAAACAGTCATGGCACAATATTTTACACCAGAGTTGCTTCAACACAAAACCAGGCTGAATCACATTAAACTTGGTAGGTAAAATGCAGCATAGGGGAACACAGGTGTGCAGCATCCAGAGGCAGTTTGTTTCTAGCAGTAATTCTGCTGCTATTGTGCAGTGCAGCAGTCTGACACAGCATACCCTGGCCTCAAGATGGATGTGTCCAGAAGCAACTCAGGGTTTGCAAGTGCTGCACATAGATCAGAAATACAATGTCAGGAAGGCAAGCAGCCCAACAGAGAGGCAGCAAGAGCTAGGAAGCCTGGAGGCATCAGAGATGCTGCTGAAGGAAGCTTTGTGTATCCTGGCCCTGGTTGCTCTCTTCCTGTACCAGTGCAGCACACATTCACATTGAAATCTCAAGTCCAGTATTAATAAACTCTCCAGACCAGGAGGAGCTCAAGCAGGAGGTGTAGAGGACTGTGGAGAAGAAGTCAAATGTGCAGGGGATTTAGCTGTAGCTCTGTGCCGGTCATGGTCAACCTTGGCTGATGCTGCAGAGCCAACCAAGTGTTTACACAGTGCTTATCTGGGGCAGCTTTGCCTTCAACACCCCTAGGTAATGAATGAGGCAAGTCCTGCTGGCTGTGACTAGAAATAAGACAATGACAAAGTCCAGTGTCTAGAAACAAAGCAAGAAAATGTCTAGAATCATAGAATCATTGAGGTTGGAAAAGACCTCCAAGTCCAACCTTCAACTGAATACCACCATGCCCACAAAACCGTATCATGAAGTACCATCTCTACTTGTTTTTTGAACACTTCCAGGTCTGGTGACTCCACTGCTTCTCTTGGCAGCCTTTCCCAATGCTTAACCACTCTTTCAGTGAAGAAAATTTTTGTAATAGCCAACCTGAACCTTCCCAGATGCAGCTGGAAGCTACTTCCCCTTGTCCTATCTGTTAGTTCATGTCATTTCCTTCCTTAATATGTTTGACCTCTGTATTCTTTAAAAAAAAAAAAAAAGGAAAAAAACTACAGAGCACTTTCTAAATAAGAACCTTTGCAAGAGGTTTCTGGATTAGAAAATGAGAGAGAAGGAGACAGAAGATACTAAGCCTATTGAAACAAAAGTCACAGAGATCAGAAGCATAGTGAACAAGTAACAGTTAAAGCAGTTAGCATCCATTCAGGTGAACAGGAGCAGTTCAGGTTTTTCAGTTGTTAGAGAAGGGGTTACTGCCTCTTCAATATTTGCACAACATGCACGAACAGAAGACCAGTCCCTTAGGCACCACCAAAATGTACTTTCTGCCCCTCATCAGCCCTGAGCCATGGTTTGGGCAGGGGTGAGGCCAAGGTTGCACCACTGCAGGGGATGGGCTGATCACTGGAGCTGTGCAGGGACAAACCTGCCAGGCTTGAGGGAGCAGTCACACTCAGCTGCCTCATACAGAGCAAAGTACAAACAGTAAACATTTCACTGATAATTCCCACTCTGTTAACCTCACAGATTATTCAGTGCCTACTAACAGCTGCACAGCATCTTTTCAATATTCACACAGCAGTGTTTTACCAGTCCAAATGTCAGCAGTCCAGTGAAATACAGCAGAGTTTTAAAGCAAGATGTCTAAGTACAGGCATGGAGCATAGCTAATGTCAGGTCACAGGGAACACAGTTATGTTGCACGGTAAGAGATGTCAAGCTTACTGCTCAAATGTGGCTCAGACACACAGCATCTCTCTCTCCAGCTACCAAAAAGGATTTGAGGCACAAGTCAATGTCTGGGTACACCAATACATGAGAGGTCAAAGCAGTGTTCTTGCTTGAGAGGCAAGCAAACTCTGAAGGAATAGCTATTAAGAAAATTTGTGTTTACCCTTGCTTATCACATGTTCCTACGTACGATGCCGCACAGCTACATGGCCCATTGCATTCCTATGTAAGATGCCGCACAGCTACATGGCCCATTGCATGGCAGGGATGACATTTACACCACCCGGATGTTAAGGACGAACAGAAACAAACTATGCAGCTTACAGTATTTGATAAGTACTTTTTTTTTTTTCAGGAGAAGCTTTGGAAAGCTTTGTTCAAGAAGCTGATACAGGCTAAATAAGGACTGACAGAGCCATAGCAGATGAGGTGGCAGGAAAAGAGACAGAGCAAGTAGAATACTTCTGCATTTTATGATCAGGTTGTCAGCTCTTTGCAGTCCCAATTGCCTACCACCACATTCGGAATTCCTTCACAAGCTGTGCTTCTGTGCTGCTGAGAAGTTTCTTCCCAGAATCTCCTCCTCCCTGGACTTCCATACCCTTCCTCTTCTCTGCTCCCACCCAGTGAAGCAGATCTGCTCTCCAGACCAGTCTCTTTTCAAGCTGAGACTGGATGTGGCATGTCAGCTCTTTGCAGTCCCAATTGCCTACCACCACATTCGGAATTCCTTCACAAGCTGTGCTTCTGTGCTGCTGAGAAGTTTCTTCCCAGAATCTCCTCCTCCCTGGACTTCCATACCCTTCCTCTTCTCTGCTCCCACCCAGTGAAGCAGATCTGCTCTCCAGACCAGTCTCTTTTCAAGCTGAGACTGGATGTGGCACTTAGTGCCATGGTATGGTCTCCTGCCATCACAGGTCCCTGCACTTACACATCTGGACCTCAGGCTGGTACATCTCCCTCATCCTGCTCCACACTCACACCCCCATGCAGCTCTTCCAGCACCTCTGCAACAACCTGTGGCCTTTAACTTTTTTAAAATACTGAGGAGAGTTACAAAAAAAAAAAAAGGTGATTCAGAACAACTGCTAGTGACAAGCAAGTGAGAAAAAAAACCCTCTAGCAGCAGACCAAGCAGCCCCAGTGCTGGAGGAGAGGAAGCCTGGGGCCGGCGCGGGAGGCCGTGGGCGCACACCCCCAGAGCCCTGCGTGGCAACCTGCCCAGAGCTCTGTGGTTTCGGAGAGCAGTTTCAAGCCCTAAGCTCAGGCCCAGCACCAGCTTTCCTGCATGTGGCTGCAGATTTACCTTCACCCACCTGCTCACCTGCTGCACTGCCAGCCACCCCCACCTCCAGGCTCAGAGAGAGCTGGGGAGTCCCAAAACTCACATCCAGAAATGTCCAACCCACTCTAAAGCATGAGGTGGTGGAGGAATACTGTACCCCACAGCTGGCCAGAGTCCAGTCCACAGGGCTGGTCCCCACTGCCAGCTCAGTGCAGCCAGTACCAGTGGGGACCTGCTGGAGGGAATCACTGAAACACAGCCTGGACCCTTGAAACATGCTGGCACATTTTTTTTAGCAGGATTTTCTTCCTCCAGCATTTTTTAGTGTGCAGCTGGATTGAGTTAGACCATGATTCCTGGTAATAGTTTAAGAAATACAGACCGTAAAAGCTGAACTGCTTGTGAATTCAGATCAAATCTGCCCACCATAAAACTTTCTCTCTCCCATGGCCCTCATTAAGTGATTCATTTAAGACTTTTACTTTTAGGGG